CACACAATATATAGAACAAGGAATGCACATCTCAACACTTGGAACATAYCTCCTCACTTCCCAGCTCTGTGTTTGCAACTGTGGCTTCAGTGTAAATAATACTGGGATTTCTAGTAGCTATTAAGCAATGAAGCCGGRGACTTGCTATTTTGCATCTCTAGTAAAGCCAGCTCTCTTTCAACCAAAAGCTCTTAAAACTGCAAAAGGCTCTAGTTAAATTCTAAAAAAAAAACACTTTTAAATAAAAGTTCTCTTACATTTCTACTACTGAACTTTAACCTCACAYGTGGAGTAGTTTCTGGATTCCTAAAATTCCCAAGCCAATCTTTAACACACTAACTTAGGTCTTTATAGAGCACTTATCAGCTTAAATATCCTGGTTCACCCTCTGTTTTTTACACTCAACATGTCTCAAGGGCATGAGGTTCACAGAACAATGAAAYAATTTTATTGCACCAGAAGATCCAGCTGGGGGGGATAATATATATGTCTTTGCCAAAAGACATCAGGAGAGCCTCTTCAACTCCTACCACATGAAACAGTAACAGCTAGACAGGTTTCCGGAAGTAAAATTCCCTTTAAAGAGCAGAAACAAGAACTATAAATGCTAAATAAATATAACCAATTATCCAGGCAGCCATTATAACAGATAGATTAACCTCAATGAAGATGAATGCCTAGAGTTTTGCTTATTAATACTTCCCACTGCTCACATGAAATCCACTCACAGCACATTCCTGGGGGATTGGAAGAAGCTGGATCTTCTCTAGCTAGGAACACTGGGAAACAGAACAACAGATTTACAAATTTTACAAGAGAAGGAACTGTTAGGATTCCAGAGCCCTTCCTGTGAGTCTTGACAAGTCTGGATGCCTMTGCATCTGCCTACACACATTCTGGAAGAAAGTGAAGTATGACCCATATCTCAGCCCAGTTTTAAACAAAATCTATCTGATTGCGTTCACATGCAGACCAGATCGTCCTCTGGGGAGTCAGTCACTTAGCTRCCAGTATTCCTGTCCTGGCAGGGATGAAGGACAAATGAAATCCTTCAGCTATGCAAAAGCAGAATATTCTAACACAAAAAGAAAAGGCCAAGAAATTGAAGGCATTTATAGTTGTGAATAATTTGGCCCATACAATTGTCCAAAATCTTGAAATCAGTGATAGAAAACATGTACTTAACGTTTTCAGATTGGCTTATGATACTGTGTCTACTGCCAGAAACTCTGTCCCCTAGAGATGAAGCTTTTGAAAAGAGATCCTGAAATTCCTATTGGAGGGAGATTACAGACTCTTATCCGTGAGCAGAGGAATGGCTTGTATCAATAACACAGGTGAAGCCAGGAAAAACAAAACCAAGCACTCCAAAGCTAATCCTTGTCCTCCTAGAGGACTACTACCTAAAYTCAGTTATAAATAGGCAGCCAGACTAAAAGTTTGCTTTCCCTTCTCAGACAAAGGTTTCTTCTGTGAGATGAATAAAGGACCAAATGGCAGAGAGCCAGCAGCAGAAGCCAACATTCTAGGTTCTAAACCTGGCTCTAACCATGCATCCTTCCCATCCTTGTAGTATTACCTCTCCTTAGTGTCCTGTTATTTCCTTGACATGTACACTGTGTTTCACTATTAAAAGATTTAAAAGATGGCTTCGGTATTGAGTAATCTCATGACCATTTTATTCCTCTCATCGCAATTTCACTTCTTATCTTCCTTACAATCTCCTTTTTACTTTTTTCATTCTCAACAGTTCATCCATCAGTCTTGTTCACATCAGTTTGCCACTACACTTCAAGTTCCAGCCTCAAAATACATCCATCTCTAAAAAAATTGTTAACCAATACCTTCAACTCAAGAAGATGAGGTATTAAGCACATTAAATCCTGCAAAAGAACACATACAAGAGACACTATCATCTACATTCACTGCCCTCCTTATTACCCCATCTATCACAATTTGATCCTGACAAGATATTACTAAAAAGTGCTGAAGACTTCATGTTGCAGGACTGCCTAATAATCACAAATATAATACAGATGACTGACAGAAACTGAGTGGAGGGCTGCAGGAAGAGAAATGGAAAAGGAAAAGATTAAGTACCTACTTTATTCTTGTAAGGTAAAGATGGATCGAGAAACTTCACACCCAACAGGGAGAAAAAAGTAAGCAGAAAAGAGACAAGAAGCAGACAAGTGAATGCTCTGATTTTTTAAAAATAGACTTTCAATTACAAACTGCTGTAGAAAGCCTTTATCTCAGAATACTCTGAGTTGGAAGAGACCCACAAGGACTGAGTCCAGCTCTTAAGTGAATGGCCCATACAGGGATCAAACCCACAAGCCTGGAGTTGTTACACCATGCGCTGACCAATTAATGGCAGCTAAGAGCTGCTGATAGCTCGTTAGAGAGGTTTGAATATTTTTAAATATAAAGTGACCTGCTGCTGACTTCATGTGTAGTGAGATTCAGGCAGGAGGACACACAAATGTGTGGGCAGAAGGTCAAAGYGGAAGGCTGGGAAGGATACAGAAAGTGACCAAGAGTTTGGAAAAATAATTAGGAGGCACAAAGGTATGACAGACTTCTGCAACTTGAATGTAAAGGAGGCAACAGTGCATATCACACCATGAGAAAGACATGTCAAAAAAGTGGAATGATTCCTTCCACCAGGAAGAACAGAGGACTGGAAAACATGTGCTGATCTCTTTCAATCCTTGCCTCTTCCTTGATTTGGACAGTATTTACAAATAACTAATATAAAYGCATCTCCAGAAACACTGTGACAGTCCATGGCACTGTCCTTAAYCACATCGCAGATCTTGAAAGCAGTACCACTCCCTTCAGGATGTGGGCTTTGTACCCAACCCTGAAGCACCCTTAGCTGACACTCCCCATGGCAGCAAGGCAACTGCACCACTGAGGTCCCAACAGCCCCACAGGCACGACTGAATGCTACAGGGACACTAGTGAAGAAACAAAACCACACAGCCATATTTGAAAAGATAAGTTAAACAATAAGCAATTCATTCTATGAAAGGTTGTATTAAATAATTCAAAGTTGCTATGTATTTATGCAGCAGGCATGTCCTGACCCCCTTTAGAATGCAATTTTGGCAGGTACTGTGTCAAAACACCATTTTATTACTGCTTATTATTGCACATACTAATCCTGGGTGCCGGTACCAGAATCTCTCTTGCAGCAAAGTCTCAGAAGATTAGAAGAACGTTTTCATGAATGAGAACTGGTTTATAATGTAAACCCTCATATATACATGAGAGCATGTGCTTATAACCAATTTGCCAAAGACTAACAACCGTATACTGTGCCATATAGAAAAGATGTTCCAGCAGCATCACACGTCATTTTTATTGCTAGTAAGTCTCATTAGTACACCAGAACAGAAAACAGCATTATACATCCTAGACATTTTCAATACTATTCTTGAAACTTGAGCACAAATATTTTGGAAAAACTATGGAGAAATTGATTCTTATGAGGAAAGGGAAATAAAGGGAAAATTAAATAAAGGGAAATGAAAAACTGAGCTCAACTTGGCAGTGAGCTGAACTTGGAGAAGAGTTGCCCCAGCCAGAGCTCCACTGCAATGTGCCCTGCTGTGCAGCATGACCAGGATGATATGCTTAGAGCAGGCAGTGTTAGCTTGCTGCATGTTSGTCAGAACAATGTGTCTGTGGACAGTGCATGCACAGAATACAACTGCACAAGCTGAACCGTGCATGATTAAGTTCAAAGTCCTTGTTTTTATTTACTCCACTTTTGTATCTTTATACAAAGATCCTGTAAAYTACACGAGCATACACAGTATCATGCATAAAACCTGAAAACCTCAGCTGTAACTCCATTTTAATAACCAGACTATGTTTCCTGGAAAAAAACATTAAATCAGTTCTTCTTAACAAACACCCATTTCTATCCAAATTACACAGAATCAAAAGGCTAAAACAGTTTCATTAAGGTAAATAACTGTAAAATTATGGTTTACGAGAGTAAATGAAATTTCCATATCCTGGGGAGATATTACTTGTTGCTCAGAGGTAACACACTATTTTTAGGACCATGACATGAGCTGGTACAATTTGATTGAATTTTCAGAATTAAATATTTGCCACTCACATCTAGTAGAACTGCTGCTCTAAATGTTCAGCAGTGTTATAAAGCAGTCCGCTTGAGGTTTTTGTTTGAGAAAAGCTTCAGTTAAAGTTTCAGCATGGAATCTATACACTCTTTGATTTTCATTTGGTAGGAGAAAAAATCACCTCTCTTTAATCTCTAGTTACATGCCTCTATTATGACCTATTCTAAACTTATCCCTGGCATAGCAAACGGAATTTCACTAAATGCATAGATAGATATCGGACACCTTGTTTCCACTTTAAGCTTAGTATCGAAGGTAACACCCCTAGTAGCATGACATTAAATCAAGAATAAGTTTTGTATTTCCATTCCATGTTTTACTTCCTCATACCCCTTTCTCTCCACCTACTCATCTCTCAAAGAACAGCAGAGGCCTATGCCTCCTGCTTGCAGTCTATTTTGACAGCTGAGCCACAGCAGAGTGAAGAACTGCACAGATGGAAAGGGAACAGAGTGTGCAAAGAACCTCCCAGCTAACAGAAAATCCGGTTTAGGTCCCGCTATTTGATTAAAGAAAACTAGAGAAAAAAAGAAAACAAACAARAAAACTCACATAAAAAAAAACCCAAAACAAACCACCACAACTATGGCACTTAAAAAAGCTATTCAGAAAATTCAGAAAAACATTCCCTAAAAACAGGGTCTCATTGTATACCAAAGAACTACACACACTATCTCTAGTCCCAAAATATTAAAAAATCTCCAATTTGGTAAATGATTTAATAGCTATCAATTTAATTACTAATTGGATAAGCAAAGTACAAAATATTTTACAGCCACTATGTACACAAATTAAGATGCTGATACAGGCTGCTTAACTTCTGAAGAGAAAACAAGTACTTACCACAGTGGGGTTACCACTGCTGATCAGCTGGCTGACTTCATGAAAAATGCTTTTGCAGTCGATTGATTTGTCCAATGAGCCCCGTTTCACTATCACCGCTACTGCTAATAAAATCTGCTCCCGAACATACTTTTGAAGGCTGTAAACAACATTGCACAAATATAGTTGCAGATAATTCTGGACATCGATACTCAATAAAATTTTAAACAAATTTCTTYTTTAAATGTTTTGTGTGAATTCATAAGGGAAAGCTGACAGAAGTCAACTGCTAAGAATAGAATACAAATTATTCTTAAAATGATTATGCACTGCCACCCAGGGAAACRAGAATGATAATCTAGACTTTATGCAGAATCCTACGTTTCTAGAGGTATGTTTCCTATACTTACTTAGGCCTTTGTAAGACATAGGTTAGAAGGAATGTTCGCAGTGACTCAATGCTAGCTTTTTCCAAAAGAATCCATTCTCTTACAACTGCTTCCATGATCGCTGTAGCAGCTTGAAAAAGGACATAGTCCACTTTACTAGTTTCTGTGGGTAAAAAACAAAGGCAATTTGAGTATGAGAAGACATGTATACTCAGTTTGAGYCTGTTTCCAACAAAAAAAATTTAATGGAATTTACTATTATTTATTATTAAATAGAATATTGCTGTATGAAAACAGATAAAAAATTTACAACTCAGATGTGGGAGAAATAATCAATAATCCAATTATCAAGTTGTCCAATATTACTCAAGTCAATCACCTAGAAGTAAAGTTGCCTGCACTAGGAGGCTGGTTCAAAGAACAGGAATAAGAATGCCAGCACAACTTGGGAATAAAATAAACAAGATGACAGATTCAGTTCCAATACATTAATTCATAAAAGTGATTAATCTTACAGGCATATAAAAAATAGAAATTTCTGTGCTCGTCTTTGAAACCAACAGTGCATAAAAGTACATTTATTTTATGGGTAACAAAGAAGCAAATCCACTTAAAGATAATGTTTGTGTTTAATTATCTAAGGAAAAATTTTACACTGTGGTATACTTAAAGTGTTCTAAGTCATGTTCAAGTTTCCATATTTATTTTGAGGTAATCAAAATATAATTTCTGACCACATTGTAGGAACCATCTGCCATTATTATCTGAATATTGGATTACTATGTATACAGATGCACTAAGGAAAGGAAAATGATACGTTATAAAGAAAGTTAACAGTTTGGGTGACTACAAAGTACAATTTAAAGAGAAATGYCAGAATATTAATATATTTTCTAAAATGATATAAAGCTACAGAGACATTTTTGTTGCTGTTCCTTTGCTTTAAAAAATTTCAGCTTGGAAATAGCAGGTAGTATCTCAGAAGGCAGTTTCAAAACATTCTAACCTCTGTAGAAAACACAGAAAGAATTTTCAGAAAGGGTGCAGCCACAAGGTGACAAAAGCATAAAATATGAAATGATGAAATAAAATTACCACAAAAGAAGCAGAGCTTGAGCTACAGTGGGTGATCTGCTAGGACTAGAAAAAGTGGATTTGTTTGATAAAAAAGCTCAGTCATGAGATTAAGGGSTTTAAACTACTACAAAACAAACTTTCTTCCCCAATTACATACAAAGTTTATAATACAGATTTCCTTTATATGTAAGTTCTATATCCAAGATAGCAGCTAATTTGCTAAAATATTTTAAAGTCATTTAATCAGGCTCCAAATCTAAATGCTCACAGGTAAACATGCTTAAATCAAAATAAAGCACCTTTAAATCTACTTAGCTTAATTTGGAAAACTAAGTAACCACTTATGTAAAAGATTAATGTGTATGTCTAACACATATAAAAACAAATTTAATTATTCCTGCAAGGGAATTTTAATTCTGGCACTTGTTACCTTGGATTTTTGGCTTTTCTAACTGTACAAAGCTCACACAGAGGAAAAAAAAGAGAATCTAAGTGAAAAAGGACGGAGTTTCCCTTTGTGCCAAGTCCTGYAGCCGCACAACTGTGATCCTTGGCAGCACAGACCTGCAGCCTCCAGGGTAAGCCTGTAATTAGCCAGAGCACCATGATTCACCACAGGAGCTTACTAAAGAAAGGAAGGACATATTTTGCCAGAGCAGTGTACAGCTATAAGCTTACAACAGAACATAGAGCTTCGTATTTTCTAACCAGATGGAGTACTACTAYAATATACTAAACCCAGAAGAAGTTCATTTGTAGAGAAAAATTATGGTTGGGGAATGGGTGTAGGAAAAGTATCACAAAGTATCACAGTATAGCATAGAAGTAAGTCTGCAATATGACATCACAATAATAATGATCTGTAAGTCTCTAATCCAGTAAATTTAGAAACAACTGTTAAAAAAATACTGTGGAATGAATTSAGTATAAAAATAATATTTTAAATAGAATTCTTATATTTCTCTGTTCATTCTGGCAAATGCTTTAAAGTAGAAGTTTCCTTTTTGTGGTTTTGGCATGCGYTCTTTTGTGCAAACTTTGAGGTTTCCCACATCAGGTCTCAGAGTCAGCTTTCACTGAAACTTCCCCTCACCTGTCCCCAGCACCCACATCRGGTCAGTACCATGGTGCTGAGCAGCAATCTTACATCCTTACTGTAATTTTCAGATACAGCTGCCAACCTCTAATAAGTCTCTATAGCACCTGTGAAAACATTTATTTTTTAAAACTTGCTACACAACCACATATATAGCATTTCCATTAAAGCCAAACCTTCTGATTAAGTCCTTTCTCCACAGGTATAATCAAAATTTCAAATCAATAATCTCTTGCTTCTACCAGGTGGACCAAAATTTCTTTAGTTTTTTCTTCTTTTTAACAAAACAACTGGCCTTGTCAATGTCAACTAAGCTGTTCAACTGGAGATAAACTCTTATTTTAGCACCAATGAAAATCTGGTAGAATTGTATAAAATTGCATCATTGGCTGATTTAATGGAAAGCACAAAGCCAAGCAACCATACTACTGGCAGTTGCACAAGCTGCACAGACTGGACAGTATCACAATAATCATGTTGCAGGGGAAATCTGGTAAATCAGTTTAGGAACTTAGCTACATCAAGTTATACCTTATAGCTTTGAAACTGACAGAAATAAAACCAAAAAGGACAGTAATAGGCTTCATCCTTTATCAAAAAGAAACCCTCATCAAAATCAAAACTCATGTTCATAGTCCCAGCTTCAAAAGAACAGCACAATTCCAGTTAGAAAACATTGTACACACCTAACTTCATTTATTGAAACTTACCCAAAATGTGTTTGCAAACAGCAAATGGTGATTTTGATTTTCTAAATGACAAGAATATGTGCTCAGCATGTTGGCGTTGCTCATTATTGACCATGGAAGGTGGTGCCTGAAAGAAAAAAAAAACTTATTCAAGCACTGATCAAAAATATAGTAAGAACAATGCCATGAACTTATGTCTCTTAACAAAACTGCTTGCTCTCAGGCATAGCCCCTTCTTATATTCCACTGCATATTTACATCACATGCACATAGGTGCACATAGGTGTGAATATCAAAATATCAGGCAGAGAGTGAATAATTTTAGTTTCCTAATGCTGTTTCTCAATAACGCTAAAAATTTGATCTAAATTCAAACCAATCCTTTCTCTACTCAGACTAAAATTACCACTGCACATCACTAAATGCTGCTATGCACACTCACAGTCCTGGAAGAAAAGCACTACATTTTTCTTTAGTTCTACATTTGTTTTAAAATATTTAATTAACAAAATCAAGAGATTTACAAATTACTACAGATGCAATCTAAAATAAAGTATTACCAGTAACATACTACCCTCTAGTGTTTAATGCTAAAGTTGACATCCTGAGGACCGGGTTTGATTGAAGAGACAAGTAAGCCCATTTGGGAATGGCTATGGTGATTCCTCAGCTTACATCCATCCCTATATAGACCCACCCCGTTACATCCTGGGCACCTTGGTTGCTCAGGTAACACCTGCTGCTCTCCTGTTGAWAGCCAGTTTCATAGCAGTTTCTATCAGAAAATCAGCTAGAGGTAAAGCATAAAACCATGCAATAACCTGGACCCCTGGGAGGTGCCTATGGAGCGCAGAGGAGAGTTGCCCACACTGCAGCCTGACCTCATGGAGCAATTCCAACATTCCCCCCACTGCCCTACAAGGTAATAACAGCCATTCAGAAAGTAGCAGCAGCTCACAGCACCACACTACTCTCCATTTCTGCCACTAATATTCTCTGATCTCTGCTATTTGGGATTTATCTGAATGAGCACAYGGCATAAGATATTCTTGCAGGGGGCTGATACCATAAACACGGTACACAAAACTGATGCACCTCTGAGAAAAGAGCATGCACCCATGTAGAAAGATCACATCCAAACTGCAGAGCAGGATCAAGGTCATTGGACTTCAGCTGAACTTCCAAACTCCACATTCCAGCCCTGTCCCTAGTGGTGTGSGGTGAACATGTGTGCCACCTATCTTTCAGTTGTGATTTATATCCACTGCTTTGGGAATAAAAGTACCAAGACCTTAGCATTAAGACCTAGGTTTTTAACCTAAGTGAAATATTTCCCACTAAATAAAACATAACAAATTTGATTTAACAGACACTTCTGTGATATAGCCTGCTGCATGTGCATGCAGCAGGAGCTGTTCCTAATAATTTGTGTTTTCTGCAATCTGAAGGGCAGTCCTCTTCTGCATAGACTTCAGCCACATTCACTGCAATAGAACCAGCTGTACAGAATGCCAGAAGAATACCTGGAGCAGTTTCTCAAACAGGCAGGAATGACCTATACAGCAAGAGCTGGACACAAACTTCAGCCAGAGCTGTGGCAAATAAACCAAACCAATAAAAAAAAAAAAGGCAGTCTCCACCCCATTGTACAGGCAAGCATTTGTGTAAATGCAGAGAGAACCAGACTGCAGAAATGATTACCAAAAATCACCACAGTTTTTTTTTCACCTGGATCAGTTGAAACAAAAAAGGCAGGTTTTTTTTTTTTTCATCTGGATCAGTGTGGTTCACCATAACCCAACACATAAGCCTAAACCAGCACAGTATGAGACAACTGGTACTGAAAAAAACCAGCCTATCATTTAAGGCACAGTTGATCTACAGCCTCTATTGCTGTGCAATGCCTGGGAATAAGTCTCAAGGAACACACAGCTCTGCCCAATGATATTTCATCAGAACTAAGACTCAAATTTCTTAAGACAAGTGACTTATTAAAATAACATTTTCCTACTAGAAGGGTAGGTCCTACTCCTTTTTTGGTTCCACCTCCATGGTCTTGTTACCTCTTTGCATGATACTGTCTATCAACTAGTCCATAAAAGAAAAGCAATAGAGGGGAGATCCAGGGGCAAGGGGAATGAACATTTGTTAGCCTAGTAAGCATCAAAAAGCCAGACAAACGCCAGAACCGGTGCAATGATGGGGAGAAAAGGACCTCTGAGTGAATTTCCCTTTCAACACTACTTGCAGCTTTCAGCTAACAGCTTTCAAGTCTCATGAAGCCTCACTAATTATAGCCATGTTAGAATTAATCCTTTGGGTGTGACAAAGCATATTTTTTGCAAGTCTGGGGTCATTTATATTCATATCTCTAGAGCAAGAAGACTAAATCAGGGCTACCTGATCCTAATTGAATATTGCTTAAACACATCATATTTGTCATACAGAGATCCTATCTATTTTCTGTTCTGTAATACTTAAGGGCACTTTCAGGGATATCAGCTGCAAACTATGGCATCACTAAAAACACAACTAGAGAATCAAAGCTTTATGGGAAATAACTCCTTTCTGCTTATAATAACTAGAAAGCAGACCTCTTGCTTCATATTATTTTAATTCTTCTAATTCTCTGAAGTCCCGTTACAGAAAATCTTTGACACCTTGGAAAGGCATATCACATTCCTGTATTAATTTTTAAAATCTCAACAACTTAATAATACATTACATACTTTGACTCTCAAAACTGTCCAGAACAGACAAGTGCAACAGTTAAGATTTGAACTGTACTATACAACCACCAGAGGGAGCTTAAAGCTCACAGTCTACTGCCTTCACTGCATTTAGACAGTATTTATCTGTACAATGAAAGTAAAGTCCAGCTAATTTTGGCTTTAAAGAAAAGGCCAGCATATACGTATTCTTTGTAAATTTCACATTATAAGAACACTGGCTTAGTGAGCCCAAGAGCCCTGTTCCCTGGTGCCCAGCACCTCTGTGGCACCACAGGATTACAAATGTACCCAAAGTACTCATCATGCTTGGAAGCTCCCCTAGAACACACACACACACACACACACACACAACACATTCACTGTTTTCTTTCTAATTGTCTCCTCCAAACTCTTCTCTACTATCCAGCTTACAGGGAACTAAAAAACAGTGAGGTAATGAGCATGTTTTGGCATATTGAAACCATTCGCAGCTATATCACTYTCTTTACTGTTTGACATTACTACCTCTAACACCCCTATCTGTTCTCTCTTTTGTCCTACAACTTGCCTATAAAAAGTTCTCCAGAACAATGATCATCTTTMTGATTTTAGCATAACAAGCTACTGCCACTTAAGAAGAGAGCTCCTCTATGACACAATATTATAAATAAAATTACAACCTTTCAGCTACCAAAGCTGTCTGGCAACAGTGCCTAGAAACAGGATTCAGCAAGACTACTGTTTCAAATAGCAGCYATTCACTAAAACAGAAAGAGAAACTGAAACTGAAAGAGAAACTGAAAAAGACATGACTAGAAACACTGTAGCAGACTCGCACTAATCCTTGCAGGACCACTAAATTCATGKGAAAGCCGGGACAACTAATAGGAAACTAATGTAACTGCTTGCCTTTCACGTCAACCAGTTCATTAAAACAGAAAAACAAATTYAAAAGGGAGAGAAGAAAAAAAAAGGTGAAATACCTGATGACTGAATTGTAACMAAGCCAATATGTTAGAAGATCTAAATCCTGCACCTACTTATGGAAGACCAACTCTCATGGAAAGTACACACATGACTAGGAAACATCTGTTGATGTACATGTGGAAAGAATAAGGGCTATGGGATTTTCTCTCATTTTCAACAGGAGTAGTTAGATGYACACAGAGGATCTGAACCTACACATATGTATTCAGAAACACCTGCTTTACACAAGCATTTCCTACCTCAGTAACATACCTTTAAAAATGTGCGTAATTATGACTTACTTGACAGGATAGAAAGTGCCAAGGAATTAAGGTAACAGATACATGACAAGGGAAGCAGACAGSATGCAGATACAAGATATTCATTAAGAATGAATATCTAAAGGTCAGGTCACTACAAGTTGAAGTCACCATTTTGCCACTAAYTGGCTGAAGAAGTAATGCCACATCCATGTCACACATTTCAAGTCTCCTTTTTTAGCTCCTTCCTCTTACCTAAAAACACTTTTTGCTTTAGAAGAAATAAAAATATCAAATTCCACTCTCCCAAGTGATTCTCTTCAGGCAGTTTCATGTTGATCATCACAGATAGAGAAAATACAACATTTTTTGATCATATATTAGAAGGTACATTATTTTCTTAATGGTTTTAGCGCACAGAATAGAATTGTAGCACCACATAATAGTTTTAATTGGAAGTGATCTTTAAAGGCCATCTAGTCCAACCCCTCCCTCCCGCCCCCTCACCATGGGCAGAGACACCTACATCTTCCATCCAACCAGGCTGCTCAGAGCTCCATCCAATTTGGCCTTGAACATTTCCAGGGATGGTGCATTCACAATTACTCTGGGCAACCTGTGCCGGTGCCTCACCACCCTCATTGTAAAAAATTCCTACCTTCTTAAGAGGTCAATAAAAAGGACTGAATTGGCTTCTGACTATGAATCTCRATCTGTTCGACACTTTCAACACCTTGTTGAAGTTGATTGTTTAGTAGTTCCTTCTCATATCATTGTGGATTCCAGAGAATATCACTTATTGCTTACTTAAGACACTGGCAGTATCTTAAAAGTAACAACCATTCAAGTGATAACATTGTTATTAAAATCAATAATAGAGCCAATTTTTATTTAAATATTTTGTTAACCACCTTGCACTACTACTTCTCCATCACAATTTTGGTAAGAAAAATCCTGGCCCTGATYATAGATAAACATAACTAAGGATGGTGTGAGCAGCATTCATTCCTTGCAGAAAAAAAAAATTGCTAAGACAAATTTTTCGCTTTTGCTATGGCAAGAGTGCACTGAATACAACCAAAGTCAGCATCTTTCTACAATTATACTGGGGGAAATCTGCAAATTAGCATGTCACAAAGAACAGTCACGCACTCCTCCAGACTTTGCTGCTGGGGAGAACATGGAGAGAG